TTTGGGACTAGTATTGCTCATTTGCAACCAGGTCTAATTCTGCATCGCTTGGGTCTTGGAAGTGAGGAAAGAACATTGCGTCTTCTTCCTCTGGGGCAGTTTCTTTTCCCAGATCAATGCAGTTAGGACTGTAAGAGTGTGGTGCTATGCATGCTTAGTCAGAAAAAAGCAGTGCTGGTTGGGAATTGCTGAGAGTGTGTGTGTGTGTGTGTTTAAACTCATGGTGGATTGTTCCCTAAGAGGACTTTCAGAGGATATGACATCCATATCTTATTCAAATCGTTCTTGATCCACAAAGTGTTTTTTGTAACTTGTGTAGCTATTCAAGAAAATATCAAGATTTTCCTGTCTCTTTGCTTACACACATTATTTTGTAGCGTGTATTTGAAACTAGATTTTCCTTTGCTGTAGGTGAACAAGCTTCATACATATTTTATATAATAGTTTGTATAAAATATTTAAACATAGTTCTTGTCTCACTTTCTCTTCTAGGTACAAAAGACCTTGTTGTAAAGGCACAAGTTTTAGCTGGTGGCAGGGGAAAAGGTACCTTTGAAGGCGGCCTTAAAGGAGGAGTGAAAATAGTGTTTTCGTAAGTTAAACCTATGGACAAGCACTTCAAATCTGAGAATATTTACACCCATTTGGCAGAATTATTTCAGTATGTTAGTTGTTTTAGAATGCTTGAAAAGTTGTTTGAAACAGTACTGTAATTCTAGCTTTAATTTATGAATTTGCCTAGCTTTTCAATGTAACAGCATAAGAGCAAAGTGGACCAAACCAGAGGCCAGTCTAGTCCAACATTCTCTTCCAGTGGCAACAGTGGCCAAGTAGATACCTACAAGACTCTCATAAGCAGGATATAGTGCAAAAATACCTTCCTACTTGTGTTCCCAGCAATGGGCATACAGAGGCATGCTGCCTCGAATACTGGAGGTAATAGTAACCATTAATGCCTTTATTCTGCACAAATATGTAATACAGTAATCATCATTATTGTTCTTAGTATAATACTACATTTATATGCAGTTGTTTTTCCTCTTGCAAGGAATCTGGGGTGGGTTAAATAGTCCTCCTCTACTTCATTTTATCATCACAACAAACTTGTGAGTTAAGTTAGGCTGAGAGTGAGTGACTGGCCCAAAATCAGCCAGTGAGATTCCTGGATGAGTGGAGCCTGGAATCTGGATCTCTGGGTCCCTTGCCCAACCCTAGTTACCATGCCACATGGATGTTAATGATGATCTAGTATTTATGTTTGTCTTGTCTTGTCTTGTTTTGAACAATGGTTTTATTTTAGTCCAGAAGAAACAAGAGAGATTTCCTCCCAAATGATTGGAAAAAAGCTGTACACTAAACAAACAGGAGAAAAGGGCAGGCTATGCAACCAAGTATTTATCTGTGAGCGCAGATATCCCAGAAGAGAATATTATTTTGCAATAACCATGGAACGATCATTTCAGGCAAGTATTCTTTCTTAAGGAGAAATGCTTTTAGCGTGCATTGTTCTTGGTTGGACTGAAGACTACACTTGTAATGTAAAGCAGGGATACAGTATACCCCCCCACACACATCTTCTATGTGGGTCACTCCTGCTCCAAGCTCTGATTTCTCCGCTTTCTAATCCCTTCACTCCTAGCTCTTCTGCCCTTCTTCAGCTGGCCTCCTGCCATCTCTAAGCATCTCTTCCTCTCTATCAGACAATGCAGTTGTGGTTTTTCCTTCTTTTCCTTTCTCTCTTTTTCTGGCTGTTGGGAGGACATTGGATTGCAACCCTGGCTTTCAGCTGCCCACCATCTTTACTTCCTAAATTTATCTCTGGGGGATAAGGTTGGCATCTCTGGGGAGTAAGATTGGCTTCATTTTGAAATGCTTCTAGCCATCTGGGAAAACAATTAACATTTTAAAATAAAATAGATCATAGATACTAGCAAAGCACTGCACAGGCACAGGAGTGCATTGATTTATGTTATTTTACCATGAGCCTCAATTATATAAATTATTTACAATTATTTTAATTCTACAGTCTACATTTACTTTAATCATATAGTTAATTCAATTTATAAATATCTTGTTAAAAAGTGTTCCTTTTTTAGGGTCCTGTACTCATTGGCAGTTCTCAGGGTGGTGTTAATATTGAAGATGTGGCTTCAGAGAATCCTGATGCAATAGCTAAAGAACCCGTTGACATTGTGGAAGGCATAAAAATGGAGCAAGCCATCAGGGTAATTAATTATGCACTTTTTACTCATTGATGACTTTATTACATCATCTAATGCCTTTTGAGTTGAAAGAAAGTTTACTGCATTTCAAGATAACTTTGCAAATACAAATAGTATTAACTTATATTTACAATATAGCCTAGAATACTTCCTGACAGTTAGGACCCCTAGGGTATGAAATGGGCTTCCACGGGAGGTGGTTGAAGACCCTTCGGTGAGGGCATTCAAGGATAGGCTGGACATGCACATGGTAAGTATTTCATGAGCAGAGCCAGCTGGAGCCAGGGGTCAGACTAGATGGCCTGGGAAGCCCTTTCTGGCTCGCTATGGTTCTGTGTTTCTAACCAGGGACAGAATGCATTATTCTGTTTAGCTTGCTTTTAAGTTTACTTCTGTGTTTCTATTTCTAGTTGGCCAAGAAAATGGGATTTCCTGCTAACTTGGTAAATGAAGCAGCTGATAATATGATTAAGATATACAACCTCTTCATTAAATTTGATGCCACTATGGTAGAAATTAACCCCATGGTTGAAGATTCCACAGGGATTGGTAAAGTACATTATTATGGAAATGTTTAATGCTTGACTTATGGAAGGCTTGCAACAAGGTTCATGTTTCATGAAATGAAAGATGTAATCAAAATGTTATGGTGTGGTGTAAAGGCAATTTTTATGCTCCATACGCAAAATGAAATCAGCACAGTTTTAAGTCCATTAGCAAGGTTTGGGCTCTAAAGTACTTTGTGCTGACATTAGGAGTAAGTTGGTTAGTCTCCCTGAAATGTATTCATAAAACTGTGTTTGCAGTATAGCTTGTAATTAAACCAAACTATGTACACTTCAGAAAATTAACATTGGCTAGTCAGAAGAATTGGAAGGTATCCAATAATACCCTTAATCATCCTGTATGGTTTTTTATGGTTAATGATGCCTCCTCTTTATTATTTATGTGTTGTTTTTATTTTTATCTTTTTTGAATAAATTTTATTGTTTTCACTACAATCTAACTTTAAAAACAGTGATTATTTAAGACATCGGATATACTGGGTTAACATCTTCCTCATTTTAACAGTCAATAGTCATATTCAAATCTATGCATAGTCTCATTTCTCTAGCTGATAATAGAACAAATTCCAAGTTTGGTAGAGATATATGTCCTCCTCCTCCTTCAGAGACAAGATCGACTATCCCTTTCCATGTAGTCCAAAATCCTTTTTGAGCTCAACTCTTCGGTGCATGGCTCTTTACTCCTCCCATAGTGAGCAAATAAAATCCTTGCCATAGTAATTACATATGAGATCAAATATATGGTCTATTTATCAATATCATTAAGAATAATATCTAATAAAAAAGAGAGAAGCCTTCAGATTTAAATTTGTGTTTACATTTCCAATGTCTAATTGACAAATTTAAAAACATTTCTACTAAATTTAGCAATAAGAACTATAAGTCATTTACTTCTATCTATCTAACTAACTATAAAACATTTGTATAAGTTTTCTTTATGTGAAATTACTAAGGTTACCTTGATATTTCTTTCTCACAACTTTTACCATTTCTATACCCAAAAAGAAGTCATGCAATCCTTTAATCATTCTTTCATCCAGTTTTAAAATCATTTAATCAAATGTTACTAATTCCTTTATAGGATCATATATTCTATAGACTTCAGATATCTCAATCATATTTGAACTTTATGCCTCCAAGAAATGTCATTACCCTTATCACCTATAAACATGCCATCCCATTTATAAATCATATCCTTCAAGATAGATAATTCCCTTAAAATTATCCATTCTCCCACAGAAATTTATGACTTCTAACATAGCTTAGGTTAACTCTATAAATCAGGTCAGATTGTTTATCAGTCTCTTCCTTTTCCAAAACAGGAACATCTGTTAGCATAGTGTTTATTAAACCACTTAGGTTTTCATTTTTTGCTTCTAGTGTGTTCTGAAATCTCTCCAATATGGCAACTGAATCCCATAACAACTTATTTGTTTGTGTTAATTGTTGCTTCTCTTGAACCATCTTTTCAATTTTCTCTTCAAAAACTTCAGCCGCCTTTTTCACTTCTTGTATCTTTTGTTCATTTTGTTTTATTTTAATACCAGAACCTGCAAGTAGATTCATTATCTTCAAGACATAGCTATCCAATTTGTCCAATTCATCCTTTTGTTCCAAAGCAAATTCTTATATAGCGTTTTACATAGACTCTTGAGATGCTTGGCTAGATGTTAAAGATGCTTGTATTGCCAAGAGTGTTGTTTGTAAGCTTTGAGAGGCAGACATAGATGCCAAAGATGATAGGTAAATTTTATCCACGATGAAAGTAAAAAGTTTAATTAAAACAATTTTTAAATAACCTGTTGTGGTACTAGATAGCCACTAAATAGCAACAAAAAATCACAAAGAGAGGAAAATAAGGGATTTTTTTTTTTTGGCAAACAGTGTATCTGTTAAAAAATAAAATAACCACAGGGTGGCAGCCAACAAGTTATTTGTTCAGCCATACAGAAATTGGAGGAATCCGCCATGTCTCCAAAATGGAATTCAAAAAAAAAAGAGAGAGAGAGCTTCTTCTACCAATTAATATAAAATAGGTTCAAATTTAATTCTTCACCCTTGGAGAGATTAAACATAGAAAAAAATCTCTTCCAAGCTCCAAATTTCACTTAATCTCCCCTAGTTTTGTCGCTGCTTGAACTCCACAGGGAGAGGTGCCCTCCCTTAGCCAAAGGGCCTTTCTTTTGTTATTCAGATGGATGGTTATCTCACAGGTTCTTTCACGGGCAGTATTTTTAAAGATTAAATTGCTCACCCTTCAGGTCCGATGTCCACTCTTAAGCTTCTTTTCGTTTTATTCTATTAATCCGATGCAATTCCCCTCACAGCTTGTGAGGGGAATTGCACCCTCTCTGAGCACTGAGAATTCCCCCGAATTTCTCCTGTCAGGCGAGGAACTCCCCCCTCCAGGCAGAAGTATGCTCAGGCTTCTAATCTCTGCCCTGACGGGGCTTGGATGGACCCCCCCCCCGGGCCCCCTGTAGAACGGATTACGATGTGGAGCATGGAGCCCCATTCTCCACAGCCATCTCGCTGCGACATCAACCCGAAGTCTATGTTTTTGTTTACAACCACGTTTGGCCCTTTGGGTTTCTGTGAGTTTGATTCTTCCTAGTCAAATCAATGCCATCTGCTTATTTTTCATCTTTGGGTAACAGGTCTGCTCACTTTTGACCTAGCTTTCTCTGATTTTCTTATTTCTGTGCACTTAAGTAAAAAAAATGCGTAGTGAACTGATTCATAAAGAATAAGCTGCTGTTGCTTGCTCTGGTATGTGGTCCTTGTAGGAGGGCACTCTTCTGCTTGAACTGTGTCACTGAATTATACAACTCGGTAAGTAGTTTGCCTATTCCAAATAAGTGATCCAGATGAAGTAAACCATAGCAACAAACAATGAACCTCTGAGTGTGTAAATTGGAAGGAAAATCCCAAAGGACCTGTGAAAACCAGACAACATGTGGAGTGAGAAAACTGCCATGGTTATGAAAGCATGCACATTTGCATTTGCCCACAAGTACCTCCTCGTTCAGTCCCACTTCAGTCCAGTTGTAAAAGTCTAGCAGAATTTCTGCTTGATTGGTAGCATGGGTGTTTGCATCTCACTGAGCTCTTTTCCTTTCAGAAGTTGTATCTTTTAATTATTTTAGTCTGTAATGTTTCATTTTTAAGTCTTTATTCTCATTTTTACCCTATTTTAATTGTTTTTCCTTGAAAGTAATTTTAACTGGTTGTTATACTAAGGGAACAGAGAAAATTCATCCCTTAGGAATTGAAAGTTTGCTGAGGTTTTTGATGTTTGATTTCAGTGTCTGGGACGGATAGAGGTTGGGATGGTGCATGATGACACTCCTGGTGTTTTGGAGTAAGTGTTTAACGCTGATCAAGGCCAAAAACCAAAGATAAGGCAAGATCCTGAAAAGGCTGAAAGGTTAGCCACACTTTTGGGGTATATATCTCATCTTCTCCCCCTGTGCCCCTTCTCAGGGGAGGAACAGAATTTTCTAAACTGCTAAAATCACTGTTCTCAATCTACTTAAGAAGGGTTTTTTGGGGGACAGATGTGACAAATGCAAAAATATTCCCCCAAGGCAAAAGGAGACTTACCAAGGAAGATTTACAATCCTACTGTAAAGTACTTTCAGCTTCAGTGCTAAGCAACATGATCCCACTCAGGGTAAAGACAATATTCCCATGCAGGGACTTCTAGGCTTAAAATAAATATTTGGAGAGAAGTGAAATACTAAAGGAATTGGAGTAAATAAAGTATTATTTTTCCTCAGAGTTCTGATAATATGCATAATAAGACAGGAGTAAGGGGAAAAAAGAAAAAGATCTGCAAGAAATAGCCACAGAAAAAAGAGTGAAAAGCATCAGGCTTGACAGGAAAAGCCAAAGTCATTAATATAAGAAAAGGAGTTTCATAAACTTTTTAAACTTTTGGAGGATTTACCAAAGAAGCCAATAAAACTACCTCAGCAAAAATACAAGGAATGTGAAGAATTGTAACCCAGTTGTGAGATACCTGGAGCCCCAAATGCTTCAGTAATAACGTAATTTATGAATGGAACAAATGAACCAATGGTTACCATAAATACAGCACAAGAACTATGGCAATAAGTTCTCAAAGCAAGGCGTATTTGTAAGAGACTTTTCAAAATTTAGATGAAAAAGGAATAAAGTCAACATCTATAAAATGTTGTAAACTGCCCAGAGAGCTATAGGGCAGTATAAAAATGAAATTCATAAAAATAATGTTGTTGTTGTTGTTAGTCGCGAAGTCGTGTCTAACCCATCACGACCCCATGGACAACATTCCTCCAGGCCTTCCTGTCCTCCACCATCCCCCGGAGTCCACTCTAGCTCACACCAACTGCTTCAGTGACTCCATTTAGCCACCTCATTCTCTGCCGTCCCCTTCTTCTTTTGCCATCTATTGATCCCAGCGTTAGACTCTTCTCCAGAGAGTCCTTCCTTCTCATTAGGTGGCCAAAGTATTTGAGTTTCATCTTCAGGATCTGACCTTCTAAAGAGCAGTCAGGGTTGATCTCCTGTAGGACTGACCAGTTTGATCGCCTTGCTGTCCAAGGGACTTGCAGGAGTCTCCACCAGCACCACAATTCAAAGGCCTCAATCCATTGGCACTCAGCCTTCCTTATGGTCCAGCTTTCACAGCCATACATCGTAACTGGGAAAACCATAGCCTTGACTGTATGCACTTTTGTTGGCAGGGTGATGTCTCTGCTTTTTAGTATGCTGTCTAGATTTGCCATAGCTTTCCTCCCCAGGAGCAAGCGTCTTTTAATTTCTTGGCTGCAGTCCCCATCTGCGGTGATCTTGGAGCCCAGGAAAATAAAATCTGTCACTGCCTCCATTTCTTCCCTATCTATTTGCCAGGAAGTGAGAGGAC